AGTGCCCGCACAGCCGAGTCGTCCATTCACAGATCTTTTGACTGGATCTGTAAACTAAAAGTCCCATCAGCCACTGCAACAGAGTGACTTTAGTTCTCAAGGGAATACAAGTGTGGTGACATCACTGCACTTGTAATCCATTTACTCTTCCTCTCGTCCATGTTACTGAATGTCCATACCTTGGTACAGACATGGGCAGGAGGAAGAATCTGCAGGAGCCAGAGTATTGCACCTGCTGTCCACTGAGCGAGGCTTCAATGCAAAAGCAGCAAAACCGTTATTTTTTGTTCTTAAATAAATGCAGATATATTCTTATTTTTAAAAGGTGGACTTTGCCTATAATTGTTTCCCCCCACAAAACGTAATGTTTTGCATTATTTTATACTTTTTTTTCCTCTGTCGAAAGTGGCGCTAGATATAATGCTGGATTGTTAGGATTCAAGATATATGCTCGTTTATCTTAAACCTAATAAAATCTCATTCTGCAGATATATTTTTTTCTTTTCTTTACATAATTAAAATCCTTTAATACAAATGAGCACAGCAGAGGCCAAATCACGATTTTATGTCTGTTGGTGACTTTAACCTTTTTGTCCTCAAGTGTCTGACACACGAAATGCAGTCGCTCCTTCACTAATAGCATCTGCTGGGTTATACTGCTCTCTGCCTGCGTTGTGACGTGTACATACCCGCCATTATTACTGCGACATACAGTGTGTGTCCTAACAGCTTGTAATGTTTTCCTCCTGTCTGAATCCACTATGTGCCATTCTAGCTGCGGGGAGGGAAGTGAGTAAGCACAAAAAAAGTGGATTGGCACTGGCTGTGTGATAGACGAGCTATCAAATGACCACCCTCTGGTGGAAGAATTAAATCCTCGCCCGGGGGCGTCTGCTGGAACTCAGGGTAGTCATATTGCAGTTTTTAAACAGCTGTCGAGAACGTTTGGTGAGTTAGTGTCTCGATTGCAGCCGGGAAGTGTAACTTGACAACTGATCTGTTTTGTCGGAAGGCTTCAGCTGCAGACAAGAGGCCGGCTTCAGATTCTGAGCCGTCTTCCCGGACAGTCAGCTGTCATTGGGCTGCCACTAGTCTGGCTGAAGTTTTAAAGCATCATTTTGAATCGGAGAATTCTGTTTACAGCAGATATGTTTATTATCTTTGCTTGGCACTACCAGTCTAAGCGAATCGCTTAAGCCTTAACGGCTCTATATGGCCTAACTACTTGTTACTAGTAGGACATTTAATTCCAAACCATGGCCAATTCTTTGTAGTTGCCCCCTTTCCTCCCTCCTTCATGGCTAGAACAGACTCCACTTTTCTGAGAAGGTGTTCCACAAGATTTTGGAGTGTCTGTGTGAATTTGTAGCCATTGAGCCAATAGAGCAGGGGTAGCCAAACTCCGGCCCTCTGGCTGTGGTGGAACTACAAATCCCACGAGGCATTGCAAGCTTCTCACAGACATGACTCCCGGAGAGAGATGCATCATGGGATTTGTAGCTTCACCTCAGCTGGAGGGTCGGAGTTTGGCTACCCCTGCAATAGAGCATTTGTAAGGTCAGCTACTGATTTTGAATGAGAAGACCTGGCTCAAAATTAGCATCCAATTCGTCCCAAATGTGTTCAGTAGGGTTGAGGTCAGGGTTCTGTTAAGGACACTCGAGTTCCTCCACACCAAACTCCTCAAACCCATGTCTTTATGGAGCTAGCTTTGTGCACAGAGGCAGTTATGCCAGAACAAAAAAGGGGGCCTTCACCAAAATGTAGTCATATGGTTGGTAGCCCATAATTGCCCACAATGTCTTTCTGTGCTGTAGAACTAACCGTTCTCTTCACTGGACACACGTGAACTCAATCAATTTGGTGTGTTGTCCACATACTTTTGGCCATATAGTTTATATTATGGAATTCCATGTTTTAACTGCCCAAAGAGCAGTATTAAAACATTTACGTGGTAGGAACACTCTCCCAGATGTGCATTCAAAGTCTCATGCGGCTTTGAGTTGCTTCCCTGACTGCTGATCTATATTTGCAGATTAGAGTGCCAAACAATGACATTTTTTAACACAATTTTTTTTTTTTTGTCAAGTTGAAACCATTTTCTTTTTTAAATAATAAGATTTTATTTCAATTTTGCAATATACAAAGTACAAAAATACAAGATCACAGAGAAACATAATACAGACACGTCCGGTCATCCCCCCCTAGCCCCATCGTATACATTCACATTCCATTTCTTCAGGACATGCGCAGTGGGTTGATATGCATATGCTCTCTCAGCTAATACTCTGTAGTCGCATGTAATGTAGTGGGGCTCTCGCACATATCAAAAGGCATGCGCCTTATTTTGTGTACTGCACACCTCTCACGGAGTGCGTGCGTGCAGAGGATACGGCCGTGTTGCAGCCCAACGGACCAGACAACGTACAATAACAAAACGGGGGTTAGGCACACACGGGACTCATAACTGGGGGGGAAGGGACATACAGGGATGGACATCACAGGGAATACACAGGGGAGAGGGGAGGCTCCATTGAATCTAGAATTCCAGTTAGGACCGCAAGTTGAAACCATTTTCAAGCGAGTTCTACTTGGAGACAGAGTGACAGTCACTTGAAGGCCCATACCATGACCCATGTATATTTGCCTTCCCAGCACTCCCCTGCTGCTCCAATCCTCTGCCATCCTAACCCTGTGTGAGCTCCATGTTGGCTCTTAAATAAGTTTGCTAATCTGCTCCTTACATGACTGTGTTCAGACTTGGCAACAGACTCGAGCACTGCATCTTGGGAAAAGGTCACATGCTCCCCCATACTTAAAAATACCGGTTATTTGCCAGGGCTCCAATGTATTCCTCTGGGGGGTTTGCTGCATAGGGGAGAGTAAGTTGGTTCGGGGTGGCGTTTACAGAAACTGTCTCTTGGAGTATTGGGGGAAAGAATCTGTCTTCAGGTTTGTAATACATTGGTTTACACATTATGGTCGATTCAGTCATTGCTCCATGTACAAATGTAAGCTATGGTAATCAATTGTTCTCCATCTTGGAACCAGTGGGCTCAGCTAACATTCATGATTGTCATCCAGTCACGGCTTTAAGCCCTGTTGGTCCCCACATTTGAGATTACTGTTTATTTGTACTTTGATATTTATCTGCTTCATCAGTATTATTGGTTCAAGTCTGAAAGTGCCTTTCCTGCATGCCATGACAAAGCCTATAAACTGATTTTACATATGCATATAAGTCTTAAAAATGTGAATGTCTGTGTTTCCAGTTCTGTTCTTTCCTGTCTTATTAACTGAGTTTAACTGTTACTCCTTCAGCCTATCCGGTCTCTGCCATCTTCGCAGCCTGTTCAGTACCCAGCCATCTCTTATCCACCCCCGCTCCTGCAGGTCTCACCCACTCAACAGTACACTGTGGTACTTTCTATTGCTCTTCTTTTTGTGCTTTGTTGTAACCTGTGTGCGCTGCTTGATGTTTGTGGTGTGTATTTTGTCTTTTTGGGTCATTTTGCTGTCCCTTTAGCCACATGTTAAGGTTTCCAAAGTTACTTAAATAACATTTTTAGTTTTGAACCTACCAAATTGCGTTAAAGTAAGCCCACAGGCCATTTTAAACCTTTAAGGCCCTGTGGCTTGTGTTTACTTCTAATGGGCTTTACACTTTCATACGAGTCTATGGGAATGCAATACCCAATTGATGCAGGTCAGGAGGCCAACTGCAGGTCAAATGCATCTGTTAATAGTACATCCTGTTGTTATTATTGTTGGCTTGAAAGACCCCTTTTGTGGTTTTCTTGGATTCAGCTGTGGTAGATTAAAGAGCCCATCTGACACCATTGCGTTGCAATAAAAGGCAGCAATGCACATCAAATGTGTTGGTGCAATACTAATTAATTGTGAATGGCACTTCAACGCACCTCCAATTTACATGTACTTTGTAACACATATGGTGTCCTGTATGTGCGATGCAGTCCATTTTCACATGCATTGCTGTGCATTTCAACGTTGTGGTTGTTGTGAATGGGCCCTAAAACTACAATGAAAACAAGAAGTTTTAGGGCCCATTTATGTTAATAGTTAAAGTACTTGAATGCATTTTTAGTATTTAACTCCTGAGTTTAGTGTCTGACTCACTTAAACCATGCACTCCCTGTATAGCTAAGGGCTCATGTTGACTTGTCAACTCCAGAGTTTGATTTGCAGCGCAGGTCAAATGCAAATCGGCAAAATCCCACTGGTATTTGAATGCATTTGAAAGATTTAACTCTTGAGGTTAGCATCATTTAAAAGGACAACTCTAGGCACAACGACATCACTAACTTTACGTAGACCTCATGATTATCCTATGTGAAGTCATTTTATCAAAGCTTGACTTCCACAAAAGACTTGGTTTAGTTTTCCAGCATACAACTCCTGTCTGGCTGACTTCGGACACTGTGGATCTTGTTCTCTCAGGTTTTTATGAATGAGAAAGGAGAACTGTAAACAAGTTGATTAATTTCTGCTGTGCAAGATTAAAAAAAAACAGATTGCACATCCTTTTGAAATGATTTTAATCATTACTACGCAATGTTGCAGTTTTTGATTAGTTCGGTTCTCCTGTCCTGCTTCCGAGGAAGCAAAACATTTTCTGCGAGCAATAAACGTTAAACCCAGCAGAATTAGGGGAGACGTTCTGACTCGGCGGAAGGTCTGCAGTGATATTAAAGTGAATTGCGTTACAGATTGGGTGATTGATTCATCAGTTATGATCTGGGTTCATTGGCGTAGATGAGATGCCAACCTCTCAGATTCCTAAATCTTCCTTTTAGACATTTTTAATTAAATGAAATTGTTCAGCTGCGCTGGGATTTGCTTTCATTTTCAGTGCGGAGGTTTCCCAGGGATCCTTTTTGTTTTGTTGTTTTATTTTTCATTTTAGATGTTTGCATCTTCATTTTAAATTTGTTTAAAATAGCAACTTTTTATTTTATTTTTTTAATTAAAATGGGGTGTAATTTGGGAAGAAATTCAGTCCTTGCTACTTATTTGTTTTTTTTCCCCTAAGGTGACCATACATTACACATTGTAGAAATGTCAACCGGAACACCAATCCTTTTAAGATAGCAAAAGCTTCATTTATTGAAGTTTTTTGTCATATGACCAAACATTACACATGGTGCAGCTTGATTAGTCTCTGTACCATCCCTTTTAGATTTGCCAATATTTTGTTTCTTTATCCCTTCAGTTTATGTCCAGTTTGTCCCTCGCCCCATGCAGATTTAAAGGATAATTTCTAAAAATGTGGTAGAATTATTTTCACAAAGTAGAGCAGCAAAAAATACCAACTTTCCAATATACAGAACGCTCCAATCTAAACAAATTGTTTTTAAACTTTTAAAGGGTGGAGAAAATAAAGCTGGCCCAACAAAAACAAACACTGCTCTTACTGCTACCCCTTCCCCCTATGCACAGTTGCTAAGTATGAACAGTATGACACGAATTGGCAAAAAGAAAGAAAAGTTAAAGTATATCAAAACCCAAAAGCAAAAATGTAACCACCTGTCGCAGACTTCCTAGCACCATGGTATTGAAGTATGTAGTTAGAACAAGATGGTTCCACAAGCTCTCTCCCACCATCCTGTTCTTGGACAGTCATCATCTGAGTTACCTGTGGGATATGAATACTATGGTATGTTCACGACACTCCATGAGAACTGAAGAAGCAGCTTTGGATAAGCTGTGTAATGTCAGTGTTCTAGAACAAGTCCAGTCGAATGTTACTACTACCAGACCCCCCTCAATTCTAAACTTTTACAGCAGTTTCTCTTTAAGTAGTAAGGCCTGAGCGTGTTAGGTTAAGAGTTAAGCTAGAAGATATGTTGTCCGCACCATTCTGCTTCGGAATGTCTTATTTATTCATATTCCTTTAGCATGACATGTGGCTGCTAAAGGAATACGAAAAAAAGATGACATTCCGAAGTAGAATGGTGTGCGGACAACATATATTCTAGAATGTATACTATGGCGCCATCCACCAGTCATTCCGGCACCCGTTGGATTCTGGGGTACATCGGTACGGTGTGCGAAGGGGATATTACAAATGTTAAGAGTTAAGTCCTAAACTGACCCATCACCACAGGGTCACATTTACTCCTAGCACCACTTGTATTAGAAGAAGCAATATACTTATTGCAAAGCCATCACATCTCCTCTTCAGCGGAGAACCTGTGAGGTCCTAACACCTAATACGGTGTATAGGACATGAGGACGCCAACAGACATTACACTGCCAGAGTGGAGGGGGAGACAGGCTAATGGGACCAGTCTAGCAGCCTGCCGGGTCGGAGGTTGAGTGTATTTTATTTGAGCTCCCCAGACAAAATGAACACTTAACTTTGCAGTGCTGGGGTAGCCCCACTTCAAGGGTTAAGATTTTATATCCCTGGAGTTTTTCTGTAAGCCATCTTTTTAGTTAAAACCAAATGGACAGTCCGTGCTCCTACTGCACGCCCTACCTATAGCAGCTGTGCTTGGTGAACTCGCATCTACCAAAGGACTGTAAAATAATTTTGGCTGTTAAGGTTGGGATAGGGGAAAGGTTATGTGTTACGATCTTTTACAATTTGGCTACGGTAGTGGTGGAGAAGTTTTTATATTGATTTCTTTCGGGGCTAAAATACCCAGTACCCAAACCTGCTGCACCAAAAACTAACGAACCAGATAGACTTTAATGAGCGCCTATGTACCACAAATGGCCTCCATGCTCCTTTTTCAAATTGAATCCGTCATCTGAAAAAAAAAAAAAGGTTGCTTTTGTCTATCTTGTGACTTGTTAATTACACTTCCATCGTCTCTTCAAGTGTACGTTGTAATATAAGCTCAGTAATTGAAGATGAAGCAAATTCTAGGCAACTGAACTCCTTCAGCCTTTACGTAACTCAATTCATTATCTCTCATCCTCTCAGACTTGATTAAAAAATATATAAAAATATTGCGGGTCACGATAACTGTAATTATGTTAAAGAGTGTAATTATCCTCCAGGCTTTTGTAATCAACGCTCCTGGTTTGTCATCCCCCTCTCCCCCCCTTCTATATTGTCCGAGAATTTTGCTAACACAGTCCAAAGCGATTCTGGCAGTGTTATCTATTTTCTTAATTATTTCTGAACTCGAGGGATGTATTGCGCATTGTTCCAGAATGCGCATGAACACTGCTTTTCTAAGCTTTTTTCGTGCCCTCGGGGGTGGGGGGCGGGGGGATTGAAGATTAACAAAAAAATGTTGAATCAACACTATTTAATTAACACCTTGATGATTAAAGTAACACGCAAACCTGAAAGAATTTAATGTGCTTCCCTCTTTTGACTTCTACAATCTGTATAGTGATGTCTTCATAAAGAATTAGCTATTTGCTTTTTATCGTGGCGCTTTGTTTTATTCGATAAATCCCACAATGTTATAGAAGCTCCTGTTTGCATTGGCGGCAGAGCTCAGTGCCCAGGCCAGCAAAGGTAGACCACAAGGGGACCATTGTGTACATATGACCCTATTGGGGTACAGCAATCAACGTTCAACCTAAGCATTTGGGTTGACCTGTCATAAGTGAGGTATATGGGGATGGCTGCCATAATTGACCTTCTAAATGTTAGTTGCTTGGCTGTATATGGCTTCAACTCTTTGGAGTCACAGACTGGGGACAAGCATGCAGGAAAGGAAAGTCAGTTCCTTATTTCTATTTCGTATCAGTGACAATAGAGATCCTTTGATGATTGTCAACTCCTGCTAATCAGCATTTTCAGAAGGTATGGCAGCCCGCATCATTGCCTTGAATTGGTTCACTCAACAAAGTTCTGTATTAACAGATTTGTCCAGTCTTTGTGTAGTGTCTGATACACTTAAAGCATTTTACAGTATTGTTTTATGTGTATATTTTGGTGTTTGAATGTTTTCTGTTCCCTTCTGGTCTTATTTTAATAAAATGGCTTTGCTTTTTATCTTTGTGCAGCCAGACAACCTGAACAGTCAGTTTAGCCATATGAGTCTTGCCAGACAGCCATCAGCCGAGTCTTCAGATGCTCATTCAACCATGTTCCAGTCCACCGTGGTGCTCCAACCATCTCCGCAATCTGGCTACATCATGGCGCCCCCTCCTCCACCTCCGCCTCCCCCGCTAGGCCAGTCGCACCCTCCTCCCAGCTACACCACCTCCAGTCAGCCTGTCAATCAGCCAGTGCTGCAGCCACAGGGATACATCCAGCCCCCCTCTCTCCAGCAGGTACTCGCTTCCCTGGGGATGTTTTGACTCTGGGTCTTCATTTATTGAACATAGAAGGGAGGCGTTGTCCACAGTAACCATTTGCATTCCAAGCTACAATTTTTTAGTATCTGATTGCTAGCAAGTTGGCAAATAAAAAGAAAACAAGGTGTCAAAAGCTTAGTAAAAGCTGACCTTGCATTGCCCACTTGGCTTTGTAAAAACAATACCTGTTTAATGTTCTGTTATGACGAGCTTCTTGTGCTGCAGTATGCAGTGAAGGCAATCTCAAGGACATCATAGGCTCTTTTTCATTTTTCAAGTAATCTGGTTTTTCCCAAAAAAAGAATTGAGAGTTTTAGTAATGGGTTGTATATATTAGAAACTATTTTAATACATGAGTGTTAAACATTGCAACTAGAAGTGTTACCTTTAAAAGAGAACTACGGGGTAAGTGTTTTTCCCTATAGTTCTCTTTAGGGTCACAGGAGGACTTGTACTAACCTCCTCCCGTGACCCAAAGCTCAGTATATAGCCGGCTATTGCCCGAGATATACTGAGAGTGACGCAGGGGGGACGGATCCCGGTGATACTGTCGAGATTCACCCAGCTGTGTGAGTGACAGCTGGCTCTACCTATCCAGAGGCTGTGCCCGCCCCCTCCACTGTCCGTTCTTCCAGTTAGCGCTGGAGGATCGGAGAGGGGGATCCCTGCGGGGAGTGATGACTGAAAGTCACGGCTCTCTGCGGGGAGATGATCGGAAAGAGAGCGAGCGACGGTATGTGTTCGCTCACTTCCCGATCGATAGAGCCGACCTGTGACAGTTTCTTTGTCACACGTCGGCTCTAACTATGAGGATGGGTGGAAATCACTCACCTCATAGTTCTCCTTTTTAACCTGCTGTTGCTAATTTGACCAGGATTGGACATTAGTGCTATGTCTGAACTCCTCAGTTTCCATTCACACGGTCTGATTTTTCACTGGCACAGAAAGATAATCTAATGGAGCCACTAATGGCAATAAAAACCCAACATGGGTTCTAACCCGACCCAAAACTCATAAAGAAACATTGGCTTGACGCACTTTAATTATTCCACAATTGGAAACGTGTATTAGCTAAAACGGATTCCTAATAGATTGTACTTTGTAGCTTTTAGTTCTTTATACTGTAAAGTGATTTGTGAAATAAGCCATAACGCCAATTTTCTTTCCCTTCCTGTGCAGATCCCGACCTGCTATTGTACTCCAAATCAATTCCCTCACGCAAACCAACAATATCGACCAGTCGCATCTGTCCAGTTCAATTCCCAACCAAACCAAACACTGCCGCAAGCTGTCCACCAAACAGGTTAGTGTCTTCTGGGGGCTCCCAGGTATTTCTTCTTCTCTGCAGCCGATGACCCGAGTGGCGGGACGCGGGTCCGGGGCGCTGTCTGAGAGGGGTTACGTTTCTCACAGTGAACCGGTCTCTTTTCCAGCCACTTTCTGCTCTTCTTGGATTTCCATTGTTCTATAAAAACCTGTGATGGTAGTGTATTGTTTGACATGATTTCATTGATGCCTTGACATTTTGAGGTTTTCAGTCTCGAGGTTAAAGGTGCAGCAACCAACTATAACTTTGGTGTCATTGCCAAACACTTGAAGCAGTCATTTTTTTTGTCCATTCCTTTGTCCAAATGAAATGATACATTGCTCACTACACCCCGCAGAGTGTGTAATTTGGATGGCTGTGCATTGGCTTCCTGGTGGTGACAACAGTGGACCATGCTTGCACAATATGTGTCGGCACAGCCGCTTGTCCCCATCAAGGGGTGCATGTGAGAGAGTAAGGTTGCAGTAGCACAACTAGTGGCCACCCTGTAACAAGTTAGTATAGGACCTTTGTGGCAGGATCTCCAGGTATTTCTTTTAATGAAAGCTGCCGATTCCAAAAAACCTGAAACTAATTTTAAAATGACATCAACATGCCGACGCAGAAGTGAGGTTTTAGCATTTCAGTTTACATCTGCTTTAATCTGACAGAAGACGGATAAAAGTGGAATTTTCCTTTGAAAGCCACGTGCCGCCTTGATAAAATACGCATTGGAGAAGGTTTTAAAAAGACGTTTTGTGTGTGTGTGTGTCAATGGAGATTAAATCATGCCACCTCCAAAGATTTGTGTAGCCAAGGGTGAATTGGCTCTTATGTCACCATTTAAGTTGATGTCTAATGATATGAGGATAAAGCCCCTTCTACAATGACAGTAAGTGTATGGTGCTCAGCCGGCGGCGGTGAAGGGGAGAGCCTCCATTTTATTGAGGTTTTTTTTCATATGTAAATGAAACCGTGCGCTGGGCTTGCAAGATTCATCTTGGCTCTCCTTCCATGTTACCGCTGTGTGGGGGAGCAGCACTCGATGTCTGTGCCTTTTATTGAAACACAGCGGGGTGTATTTGTTCTTCTCGAATGTGCGGGCTGAGAATTAAATCGAAGTGAAAGCTCTTCCTTTTATTTTTCACAATTAAAATGTATTTATAGTCGCGGCCTCCCACCGCTGGGTCAAGGAGAATCCCAGCTGGAGGTGGCTAAAGACAAAGTTGATCCTTCAGCCCTCGATGTCGAAATGGATTTGAAGTCCGCCTTGGTCTTTTTTTTTTTTTCTTCTTCCGTTTATAAGAAGAAAGTGAAGATTTTGCTTTGCCGCTTGGTCACAATAGATTTTGTCCTTTTCAGTAAAGATTAGTGACATGACATCATTGGTGCGTGAGCGGCATTGGGGCCCACTTCTGAAACGACTGCCTTTGGGCTATAGTAACCAATCGGGTTGTCTTCTCTATATCCTGGCATGATGCTCCATGTGCCTAAACGGGGGTCACTTGCTCCTACTGATTTCTAGTTCTTGGGTTTTAAAGTAGAGTGGCCTTCGCTACATGTAATGGTCCTCTTGGTGTACTCATCTATCTTCTCTTTCAGGTTACACGACAATAATGCCCAGCCAGCAACCAAACTACCAGGGTATGATGAATGTCCAGCATCCTCAGAATCAGACCTTGGTTAGTGGCCAGCCGGGCAGTCTAGCCAATCCCATTCAGGGTGTGATGGTGCAGTACTCCTCAGTGCCCTCTTACCAGGTATTATGAACTAGGTTCTTAGCAAGACTTCTTAACTTTAGTCCCAGGCCATAATCTACCTGCAAAACTCTGTGTATTTCGCCCTTTGCAGTCACATTTGAGAAAACAATAGGTTTGTGATCCCATTCACACAGCATAACGAAAGATAATAAAACAAAATATATTTCTTTTTTAGTTGTTTCTTTGAAGCAGAATTATACATAGAACACTATGGGCAGCTTCTATTGCTGTGATAACCTGGCAATGGGGAGATAAGGGACAGACCGGAGGAACGATATTGAGAAAGTGTATTATTATACGATGTAACATCCAAGTCTTGAGATCTTTAACCCTTTGTTAGCACAGACAGTCCTGCACATAAGGTTAACTGATAAATCTGCCAGCACATTGCAGACAGGGTTAAGTACAGCAAACGCAACTCCCCCAACCCCTGGGCGGCGCCCGGACCGGTCAGGCACGTTTTCCATCATTTCAAGGCGGAGACGAAACCAAAACCTACAGTTGGGAATGATGCCCAGTGGCTGTAGTGATGTAGGTCATTGTCTTGATCTTTGGGGATGACTGTATGTATGTTTGTTTTCTTCAGATTCCTGTTCGGCAAGGCTCCCAGTCTATACCCCAACAGCCATATCACCAACAGGTGCTCATCCCTAACCAGTCCAACCAGGGGCACTTACCGGCAGGGATGCCAGTCTATTACAGCATCATTTCACCAGGGCAACACAATAACTTAAGGTAAATGCGATCCATGAACAGATCTTGAAATATCTCTATTGCTGTTGGGTGGTTGTGTCTGTGCACAGATCTTAAGCTTTGCTTCCATATTCCTAAAGCTGGTGGAGTGTTGTTGTGTTGTATAATAATTCAGGTATATCTGTATATTTTCAGCTCCTCGGTAGGATATATGCAGCCTCCAGGGTCTGACCAGATGCAGTTCCCTAGAGCACCATCTCCATGTAGTTCTCAAGCACTGTCGGGTCCTCAGTGTGCAGGTACGTAAGAGATGTGATTTATTGCTTTGTGGGCACATTCTGTCCTGGCACCCGGAAACCCATAAACTGAGTTCACTCAGCTCACATCTGTCTCTATGGGGAAAAAAAGATGTCTTGAGTTGGTCACTTAGTGTGGTGTACCAATAACATCCCTTTCCTTTGCCCCCTTCCCAGATGTACACGCAGTTACGTTTTCATGAGTCGTCTTTTCCTAATTATACCTCTTTGTAGATCTAGTAACGTGGTCACTGGATCTCTCTTCTCAGTCTTTACTTTACAGAAAGATCTTGTTTAGTGGCAGTTATCTGGTCAGAAGATGTTCCTGTAATTGACCCATTACTCTGCCTTTTTTTATTTTTGCACTGCTGGGAATGGCTTTTAGACATGTTAGGTTTAGATGCCTCGGTGGGAGGGGTTGAGGGTGGCTGCAAAGACATTGACAGAGGAGCATAGAACTCCCCTGTCTTCGCTCCAGCATCTGCATGGTAAGCTAGGCTGCTTTGCAACAGAGCCGGTGCTGTAGCTGAGCTGTTACTGATTCGGCAGACTTTATTGCAGGAGTCGCCAACTGGTGGGTCCTGATCGACCCACAAGTCAAGTTATGTGATGGGTAGACAACAACAGACCTCTCCAACTGGAGTACTGGTGACCTCATATGTTTCTGGACTATCGCATCCATTCACAAAGATGCATGAGACATCATCAATATGTCTGCTACATATAAGGTTTAATGTAGTGATATATGTGTGTGTGTGTTTAATTATGAGACCTTTGGCTGTATAGCTTATTGCACTGCACACTTTGCACTATACTGCTGAATACGTCTGTTTCCGGATGAATAACAAAGTAATGTACTGTATTGCGTCTTCTCTGAACCTTTGTCTTGAACACTGTTGGCTTCTATTCATTGTTCTAGTGACTGTAGTAGTGATATTGGGTATGTGCAGCTTCGACTTATAATGAGCCCTGAATATCACGAAGCATCTTCTTCTTCTTCCTGTCTTTTCAGCTGTGCCAGCACCTCCCCCTGGAGGCGGAATGGTAATGATGCAGCTCAACGTTCCCAACAACCCACCACCTCAAACACATTCGCCGCCTCAATGGAAGCCAAATAAATATTATTGTGACCACCAGAGGGCGCATAAAACTGTAGAATACGGCAGCCTAGATCCTTCTTTACAGGTAAGCAGTAAAAAGGCGGTTAAAATCCAAATAATGAAAATCTGTAGTGGGTAAAATGACAATCAAGTAGAGGAACTCATTCAGCAGTACAATACCAGGGCAACTATTGGCTGCTGGGGGTTGGGTATTAAACTGTTAAAGTGTATCTAAACACCACAAGAAGAAATTGCAGCTTACCAGATCTTAGATGTGGTGGCTGAATTGAATTTGTTTTCTATTATTCATTTATTTTTCCTGTATTTTCACCTGCTGATCGCAGTAACGCACTTCTTATTTTGGGGTGACAACACTCACTCTCTGTACTGCATCTACGGAGGAACAGTGTTGTCACCTTAGGATAGAAAGTGCATCAGGAATAAAGCACCCCCCTCATCTCCATAACATAGGGGGCAGGTGTTTTCTAGTTCAGGGGAAACTTGGGCCTAACCTCACACTTGAGAGAACGCCATAGACTGGCCCGGACACAGGACAGCACTGCAAGTTTGGCCAATTAAACTAGTATTTCTTTTTAATTTTTAAATGTATTGACAGATGCAAGACATCTTTTCAAGGTTATATTTAGCAGACCAAAAGGGAGCAAATAAGAAAAGTTCATTGTTGGGATCAGGGCCGTCCCTATAAGGCAGTTGCCTCAAGCAGCATATCTCTGGGGGGTGGCCGAGTGGTGTGGAGGGTGATGGGGGCGGCTGCAGTGTCCCAGGTTGCTAAGAAGAGCGCTTCCCATCCAGCTCACTGAAGTCACTGGTTGCCAGGAGCTGAGCGGGAAACTCTCTGGCTTGCTTTCTGCTGAGCTCCTGGCACCCAGTGATGTCAGTGAGCTGGGTGGACGCTGGGCACCCATTTTCCACTGAACGGCAAGTGGCCCACTGACCATTCCCCTGCTGCCTTCAGCCCGCCGCCCCCCAACGACATTGCGTGTGGTAATACCTTCGCAACAGCCCTTGTTAGGATGTACTTGAAGGGTAAGATCAGAGTTTTGGCTGCAGTGGGCCAGGGCTCAGGTTGGCCACACAGCAGCTGGTACAGGTCGCATTAAAGATTGTAGACAGGCTGCCCATAATTGGAGCTCCCCAAAAATCAAGTGTAGAATTCGGAACATTGAGTTCAACCATATTGATACTTTCAATTCTAATCACAGAGTCACTTTAGAGGCATGTGTACAATATCTCGATACCTATAGTTGCAGGTATAAGGATCAATTCAAAGGATATTCTATGTGTTCTCAGGACATTATAAAGAACTCTATGTATACACACGTGTGTGAGATTTGCACAGTTTACATATATGTTGTCTCTTCTTGCAGCATAGTTCCCATATTGGCAGTCCTGTCACGTCACCCAATCAGTCGCCAGTTCCTGTGCAGTTAGCCAACATGAAAAACATCCGCCCGGGTTTAACGCCTCTCCCTTTAGTTCCACATTTTTCTAGACCTTTTGTTCCTGGCCAAGGTAAGCGGGTTTTTGTGTTTTTGTATTTGTACCTTTTCAGCCGACATTAAAGAACACTCTGTGCAAATAATATCCCATTTTTAGTACAGAAGAGCGCATACTGATGGTGGTGTAATGGCCTGTTCCACACTCTGCTTAGCCGGAGTTCCATGCGCAGATGGTATACTGGAACTCCAGATTTGCTTAGTCTGCATACAAAGAGCTTATTTCCTGGGTCAGACTCCTAAATATCTGTGGCATTGAAGGGGGAGGACTGCTGAATTTTGTGTGACCGACAAACAAATGAATTCTGCAGTGGGCTGTTTTAGCGGTTTGCATGCTAACTAGCAGACCCAGACTCTCTGCGCCAAAGCGGTTCACCTTTCATATATTTTATGGTGGGCAGTGTAGTTCATATTGTTTTCCATTTTTCTCCTATGGAAGATCCATCCTATATGGACAGTTATTAAGGCTCATTGAGGCAGACATTGTAGCTGTTCCTTTTACACCATCTAAGTCTTTGTTAGTGAGCAAGCACAGAGACATTATTATAGGAGAACTATGAGGCGAGTGAAAATCACTCACCTCATAGTTCGAGCCAACGGGTGACAATGAGACTGTCACAGGTCGGCTCAATAGATCGGGAAGTGAGCGAACACATACCGGCGCTCGCTCACTTCTCGATCCTGTCCCTGCAGAGAGTCGTGACTGTCACTCATGGCTCCCTGCAGGGATTCCCCCCTCCCCTCTCTGATCCTCCAGCGCTGACTGGTGGAGGACGTGGGTACAGCTGGCTCTGCCTCTAGATAGGCAGAGCCAGCTGTCAATCCCGCAGCTGGGTGGATCTCGACAGTAATGTTGGGATCCGTCCCGGCTGCGGGGTCTCAGTATACCGCGAGCTGTAGCTCGCGGTATACTGAGCTTTGGGTGATGGGAGGACCCTAGTTTGTGTCCTCCCGTTACCCTTAGGAGAACTATGGGGAAAAGCCCTGACCCCATAGTTCTCCTTTAACAAGCATGCACAGGGACAGTATTGGCGAGCAATGATAGGGACAATATTAGCAAGCATGCGCAGGGACATTATTAGTGTACAAGCGCTGAGTCCTTGCAGTAGGAGGAATTGGACTTTTCTTAACAGAAAGGAGAATGGATACTGTTTGGTGGAGCCGGTAGACCTAAGACCTCCAGTGGGCAGATTTTGTCTCCGTTGTGTCAGAGTGCCTGTGATGGTTACCTGTAGTCTAACTGTACTAACTACAGAACAATGGTGGCACAGAGGCAGTATATTCACAAGATGGCAGCCTGCATAATCAGTTAGTAAGTAGCTTCCCCGGGAAGACCAGTCAGGCTCAGCATTCTGTGTTCTAGTTCACATATTTGCATGCCGGCCTCCATTTTGAACCCTGAGCGATTTCACAATTTATAATCTCTGTCTATGTCGGCTTGCATTTTTACATGTGCACTTTTTTTTTTTTTTTTTCTGGCAGGTGATCCAAGATATCCGTTACTTGGTCAGCCATTACAGTACAATGCTCCTCAGTTAGTGCACGGACATATAACAAGCCAACAGGTTCATAACCATTCTTCAATCTGCATTTCATCTCTGGAATGTGATGGAGAGGATTTGTCAGGACAAATAGGCACTGAGGATATAGCATACATATATTTGATATTATAGATCCCATATGAAAGCAGTATGGATCAGTACAGGGGCAGGCAACCGCTGCACACCAGCTGTTGTGGAACTACAAGTCCCATGAGACATTGCAAGACTGACGGCCACAGGCATGACTCCCAGAGGCCCGTACATGATAGTATTCGTAGTTTCAACACAGCTGGAGTGCCAAGGTTGTCTGCCCCTAGATTAGTACATAATCTGTCAGATATTTACATATAGCCTTATTCTGAGGCCTATAATGAAGGTCTATAATGAAGTGCACAGTTACCTATAGCAAACAATCACACTTCACTGTGGTCAGGCCAGTAAAAGATGAATTGGGAAACATTGCCATTGAGTTCAGCATTTTGCTTTATTAAAGTGCTATGTTTAAGTCTGATTAGTAGACTTGTAGTAGTTGCGTAAGGCCGGGCTTGTCTATTTAGAGGTTTATTTCTCCTGATAGTCATTTTATAATGTGCGGATGTGACTCTTCTGACTTTCCTTTTTAATAAATAAATACATTTATATATAGATATATAAAAAAAGAAGTTTGCTTATGAAAATTTCCTCAACCGTCCTGGAACTGAATAGCAGGGCCAGCAAAGTGCAATGTTTTTTGCATTGACAAGGGGATGTACTTGGGATATCGGGTGTATGGATCCAAGCTTGCTTGGCTGCTGATTGGCCAGGCCACCTCTGATTCATACCTCTGACATCACCGTGAACTGTGCATAGGAGGAAGAGAGCTAGACATTGCCAGCACTGCTGCCAAAGGCTTTAAAGTGTTTCAAAACCCAATAGTGAAAATGTCATATGTTGCAACTTACCAACACTGACGGGAATGCTTACAATGGTCGGCTTTTATTAATTTATGTAAAACCTTTATTCAAAAGGGGGAAAAAAAACGAACTGCTTAAAAAATATTAGCTGGAGTTCAGATTTAATTTGCTACCCTCCCCTCAGGGTGACAATGCTGCTGTCCAAGGGGGGCTCTGTTGTTCCTCCGTAGAGTGGAGCCACCTTAAGGCGGGGAGTGTGCTACTGGCCAGATATCCAGGTAAAAAATAAAGGTAAAAAAAACCTAATGCAGCCACCCCGATGTATGGATTGCTAAGCTGCAATAGATGACATTTTCATTTTTTTGCTTTAGATACCCTTTAACCCCTTCGTGACTGACGACGTACAGTGTACGTCGCCAGCATCGGGGCTGTTTAAACAGACTCCCGGTGACTTTTGCCGCCGGGACTCTGTTTAAACTTGTAGAGCCGACTGTCAGCTTTACAACAGAAGCGATCCTGGCGACATACTTGTCGCCAAATCGCTTCTGCGTCTCGAATAAGGGGCCGCCCCCCCCCGC